CCAGTATGATGAAAACTATAAGTCTTTGTGACCCCGGTGTTATGTTACTCAGTGCTACTACATTTGTCCTCAATGATCCACAGGTTCCACGAGCTGAAAGAGAAACATATTCTACTAAGTCCACTTCTATCCCAATACTAACAGTTCAACCATCATCATCAAGGAAGAAACCTTCAAAGAGAAAAGAACGAGTAAAAGCTCCACTTGTTGCTGATATGCTATTACTTGATTGGGTAAAAGAGAACGAGAAAGACAATCTTAAAGAGATAAGCAATGAACAAGCTCTCATCAAGTTGAACTACATCCGAGAAGTCAAGAAGAAAGCTGTTTAAGAGCTGATGGGACTGGAACCTGAGGAATATGCTCAAGGAGAATTCTATGATGATCCACTTCCCGATTTTCTCACATAGTCAAAGATCTAATCAAGAGACACCCAGGGGAATTCAAGATAGATGACAAGTTTGAAAAACCTTAGGAGAATGTCAAGATAATTGTGCCTTATCAAGAAGATCTGAGACCGAGGATTTGGAGAAATGAGAAGAATATCAAAAAGATTGATGAGCTTGAGCTGAGAGGACTGGAACATTTGAAAGGAACCGATGCCTCCAGACACATATGGATGCTACGTAACATGTCAGTTGATCATAATGATCCATATGGACATCGAAAGAGATTGGTAAAGCATTCTGATTCTTCGATCATAGGAATTAAAGCTGTAGAGATCCATACATGTGGTTCCGTGAAATATCCAATATTTGAGTTTGAGAGACAAAATGGCATGATCCAAAGAGCTTCTGAAGCTGATTATTACCATGTTGTTGCAACAGCTCTGATTCAAATTGTTTGAATGTAGCCCAGATTCAACAGTCGAATAATCTAATAATAATTGAAAGAATTAAAACAGTAGAAGAGAAATTCAACAACAACTTATACCGTGTTATATTGATGAATCCATGAAGAATAATACGCAACACTCGAACGTATTAGAGAGAGAGAGAGAATTTCTAGCATACGTGCTCTACCATAATAATATGCGGAATAGAATGTGTAGAGACTTAGACTTCTAATCTAACGTGAGAGCTCAAAGAATGATGTGTGAGGCATTTTAGGAATCGGGAACTCTCTCATGATGTTTGGTCCATACTGCCTTTATTTATAGGCATATGGCCGAACATCCTAGTTACAATAGGATGGGCCGAATAATCTCTATTTAAATGACCCGTAATTAATTACAAAGGCTCACTAATAAAATCCTAATTAAACAAAGATAAATCTAATTAAATTGAACACAATAAAATATATCCTAACACCCTTAAAGCATATGATTCTGTTGTGTGGAGGAGGATATGTTCTATCAATAGTAGAGGGGAATGTCTCACCGATATTGATAATAATGGAAATTGATTGAGTATATTGACCCAGACCGTATGGCCCACGTACTCAGAGGACTAAATACAAAGACAGTTGGCACCCACGTGGTCTCTCATCGATCAGGTGTGTGACACCGTCCCCAATTATATTTACTTTTATGTAAATCATATATTGAACCTTATGAAATGGTTAATGAATTTACGAGGTTGTAAATTTTTGTTATTATTGGTGCGTGAATAGTAAATTGCACGTGAGGCCCACATCGGGAGCGGGGACCACCCTATATTTCCGAGAACACATATTATATTCATCTTTGTCTAGATAATATGTATATGGTGGTTGATATTTTAGTTGGGCCATGGAAAGGGCATATGGTTGACCGGTTGGTCAAACGAGGCCCAATTACCGGTATTGGCAGTTTATCGGATAACAGTCTGAAATGGGTTTCGGAGACTTCTAAATTATAGTTGAGGAATGTATATTCATTCTAAGGGTCCATATGTGTTGAGAATGTAAGATATATTTTACTTGGCCCAATAAAATAAAACATAATTAAAATAATCCGAGAAATACAACTTTCGGGGCCGATTGTACAATTCGAGACATAAAGGGATGACCTACCACATGAGTGGGTGCCACCCCACGTTTTTGTGTACTCAAATTTGACTTGAGGGGGCTGCACTATGGTGAGAGGGTGTTGAGAGGATGTATGAGTGAAGGTAAGACATGAGGTGGACCATCCCATCCACACTCATTGCTTTATTGAGACAAAAGAGTCATCTTCACTCTCTCCTCTACCACAACTTCAACCAAGCCATCAAGGAAGGATAGAGAAGCCCATGCAAAACACCATTTTTCCATATCCAAGAGATCTCAAGCAAGAAAGGAGCTCATGGAAGAAGAAAAGGTTGCAAAGTTGAGAAAAACCTTAAGGATAAAGGTAAGGAGCTCTTTAATGACCTTTCTTCTATCTTTTATTTATCATATGACATGTATAGAATAGGAGGAACCCCTAGTCTTGTTCTACATGTTTAGAAATGTAGAATTAGGGGTTGGAAGGTGGTTCTAAGTCCAAGAACGGATTTAGAAGCCAAAGTGACAGGTTCGCCGGAAAATAACCTTTTAGAGGTTATTTGTATTGATATGGGTTTTATGATGATAAAAACTTGTTAGGAACTTTTCTAAGGTGTTCCTAGAGCTTTCATGGAATTGAAAGAGTCGACGGAGTTTTTGCCGGAGTTTGACAAAGTTCACCGGAGCTTCGCCGGAGTCCAACTGGGAAGGGTAGAACTTCTTAAAGCTCATTCAAGGTGAATGGATGACTTAATGTCTAGTAACTATTGGGTTAATTATGAGATTACCTAAGTAAATGCTATATGTGTTCGTAATGATATTTAAAATGGTTTAAGCATGTGATTAGCCAAGATGAATAGGCTTATGTGAAATGAACCATAAAGATTATGCATGAGAAATGATATGAAATTGATATAAAAACATGTGTGATATTTTGGATGGTCAAAATGGCAAATATTGTTTGGTTAAGACTTAATTCATGTTTGGGTTAAGTTTCGGATCAATCGGAGTCGGTTGGGATTTAAGTCAAGGATATTGGTTACTAAGATTTTCCCAAATAAACAATGACCTACAGGTCGGGTATTTCTAAGTGTATATATACTTATATGTATTTCATAACTTGGGGGGAAAGTAATATACGTGTATGTATCACCCTATGTTTGAGACTTATACTTGAAACGTTAGTTATGCTACATTTAGCTTGCTACTCGCTCGTTATTTGTACTGACCCCTTTAGGGGGGGCCACCATTTTCAGGTTGAAGCTAAAGCTTGCTATCCTCATCTTGTTCGGTGGAGTGATCTAAAGGAAGACTTGGTTCGTGCTTCCTTTATTGTTTAAAACTACAAACTGTGTTCATTGATATTTAATGTGACGTATACATTGTTTTAGGCCTGCGAGCCCACGTTTTGGCCATGTGTGGCCCACGATTGATTATTGAATATTTCCGCTATTCGATTAATCTAAAATGTGATGTTGTTATGTATGTTTACTACTGAGTATGGATGGATTATGTTCATGGACGCCTTGTATGATTAAGTCACATTGACTTGCGAGTGACGTCACTTGGTCATACGGCGGTTGTACATGTGCTTAGATGCGGTCTGGGGCGTGACAATTAAGTGGTATCAGATCCATCTCAGTTCTAAACTATATAATCAACCTCTCACAAGAGATTTTACAAAAAGAGTTTTATCGAAAACCATGAGCATTGAATTTTGGCGTTTATAGGACTATTGTTACCCAGGTTGCAAGGTCTTTAGTTGTTAAGATGGTGCCCTTAACAATTGGTATGACGGTGACTTGGGCCAATATGTGTATGTAACATTTTCCGTCAGTTGACATTGATTGGAGTCTAATGACTCGTTCGAATTCCTTTTCAGTAATGGAGGGTAAGTGCATGGGAACGAGAGATGACCCCAGGGGACAAGCGTCGGTAGCTTACCTTGAGGCTAGTCGGGCCGAGTCACGAGCCTCTAGGGGTAGAGGAATAGGTAAGGGGGGCCGTGAGAGCTGCCAAAGCCAGGCGGCAAATGATGGTCGTGTGGACTCGGTGTGTAACATGAACACTAGGAGCAATGATGGGACTAGTGTCCAAGAGACGCGACGCGAGAAGATCCCATACGACAAAGGAGGTTTTAGCATCAATGACGGGAAGAATGACACCCATTTTGACCGAATTGTGGGAGTATATGAGCGTTACAAAAAGGGGTGGCGGAGAAAAGAACGTAAGCATCAGGCTATGTACGATCGGACTACCTACCAACATGATATGACTGTCCGCCAAGCCCATCCTTGGAGAAGCGACCAAGAGGGAGGAAGTACTTTTAGGGCACCGGCATCACCGGTGAAAAAGAAAAAGAACTCAAAGTGGCATACGTCCTGGCTATACACTTCGAGACCATCCAAATGTTCGAATTACTCTAAGAAACATTTCAGGAAGTGCAATGAGCCCCCGATGTGTTTCAAATGTGGGAGCACGACCCATATGATATTAAACTGCCCGTGGAGGAGGCAACAAGGGGCATCGAAAGCCGAGGAAGGGCTCACTCCAAAAAGAAACCATGTGGAACCAATGACAAGCAAAGTTACGCTCGTCAACGAAGGCGAGACTCAGGCAAGGGTCTACGCGATGACTGAGGCTGATGCTCGGATCAACCCCAACTCCATCATCGCAGGTAATCCTTTGTTAACGCTTGATAAATTGTATATTGTTAAGTGTTAAAAGTGATAGTGGGCTTGTACGGGCTGGTCGGAGTCATTTTCGGCCGGTTTTTTAGCAAAACGTTGCAAAATATGACTGCCCAGGGGCAAACCAGCGCTGGTCAGGGCTAGAACCGGCACCGGTTCAAATTAAAATGAATTAATTGGGCATGCCATAGGTAAACCGGCGTCGGTTTGGGCCATAATTGGCGTCGGGCCACTTGAAAAAGTGCCGGAACAAATCACTGTGCTCGAAACTGGGGCCGGTTTTGATTAAAAAAAGATTTTTCCGAAATGCGGAAGGTAAACCGGCGCCGGTTTTGCCCATAACCGGCGCCGGTCCGGTTCATTTTTGGGCAATCCAGCATTCCAAGGGTGAACCGGCGTCGGTCCAGCCCAAAACCAGCGCTGATTTGGTGCGTTTTTTGACCTGAAAGTGTTCGTTTAGCCTGATTTCGATCCGGTACTTCGAGTAGAGTGTCTTGCATCATATATAAATGTAGGAACACTACTTAACAATGGAACAAACGCAAGAATTCTCATTGATACCGGGGCGCAACGTGAAGCATTCGCCGAAAGTCTTGACGTGCCATTGACACCGATGACACAAACTTTGTTAGTCTCCACACCGTTAGGAGATGACGTTGAGAGGAACCATTACCATCCATCATGTAAGGTAGAAGTGATGGGTCAACCTTCGACTTGTGATTTCCTACCTCTAAGTATGTTGGAGTCGATGCAATCCTAAGGATGGATTGGCTTGAGAAGAATCATGCTCGAGTTGATTGTTACACGAAAGTTTTTGAACTCGAGGATGATGAGGGAAACACATTACGATTCGAGGGAGATCAGGGACGATCTAATGGTTGTATCATATCCGTGATGAGAGCACGGAAGATGATGAAGAAATGATGACACACGTACCTTGCTTACATGGTGGATGAGACAGATAAAGAAGTGGACATCAATGATGTACGAGTCGTGTACAAGTACCCATACGTATTTCCCAAGGACCTACCAGGGCTTCCACCCGATAGGGACATTGAGTTCGTGATCGAAGTAGAGTCGGGGATCAAGCCCATCTCGATTCCTCCTTATCGAATGGCACCGGCGGAACTTTAAGAGTTGAAGGTCCAATTACAAGAACTATTGGACAACGGGATCATTAGACCTAGTCATTCACCGTGGGGAGCACCGGTATTATTCGTGAAAAAGAAATATGGTACACTAAGAATGTGTATTGACTACCGACAGTTGAACAAAGTCACAATCAAGAATAAGTATCCCTTACCGAGGATTGATGACTTGTTTGATCAACTTCGAGGGGCGATTGTGTTCTCAAAGATCGGTTTGAGGTCGGGATATCATCAATTGAAGATCAAGGACAATGACATACCAAAGAGTGCATTCCGCACTAGATATGGTCACTACGAGTTCCTTGTGATGTCATTTGGTTTAACCAATGCACCGACGTCATTTATGGACTTGATGAATCGTGTGTTTAGTAAGTACTTAAATCAGTTTGTGATTGTATTCATTGATGACATCTTAATATACTCGAAGAATAAAGAAGAACATGAGCATCACTTTAGGCGTGTGCTTGAAAGGCTAAGAGAGAAGCAAGTCCTTGCCAAATTCTCCAAATGTGAATTTTGGCTCAAAGAGATTGGCTTTCTCGGGTATGTCATATCTAGATCGGGCATTGCGGTGGACAATGCAAAGATAGGAGCTATCATGGATTGGGAACAACCCAAGAATGTGAAAGAGATACGTAATTTCCTTGGTTTACCAGGTTTTTTTTTAAGAAAGAAACAACTTTATTCATAAAATAAGAATAATACAGTACAAAAACATAAATAAAGGGAAAAAAGTACAGAAAAGAAATAAAAAGTAAAGACAAAAACTAGACCCAAGGGGAATATCTGGTTTGGGATCTGGTCGTCATGCTATGACGCCTTTTATTCTTTTGAGATTTCCTGTAGAGTTTGATTTGCGTGTTCAGGTTTTCTGTTGGCAAGAAGTTTTCGGAGGTGACCAGTTGTGATTTATGGTAAATCGTTCTATTGAATTTGGACCTCTTAATTTCTTCTTTCTTTGATAAAGGGGGACGCCGATCGCTTTCGATCGCATGTCCTAGAAAATCGTCTGAAAAAAAAGATTCATCTGAATGATCATAGCTATCGGAGGCATCAGAGTAAGCCTGGAGGATTGGATTTTGTGGGTGTTTCTCAAATGTGAGGAGTTGTTGAGTCTCGCCAAAGGCTCTCTGAACTTCATAGTTAAAAATTAGTTTAGATATGGTGATTTCCTCTGATTCACCCGTATTTTCATGTTCCCAAAACTTGACTTCCTCCTGCCGTAAAATAGATAATTCGACAAAATTAGAAAATAATGTCAAAAAATCATGGAGGTTGGATTTTCTTAGGCCCATAGGGACTAAAATGGAGGTCCCATTTTCCTTAGCAATTTTCGGATAAGAGCATGATTTGTTGCATTCAGTAGAGATCGTGATAGGTTCGATTTTTCTTCTCTGCCTGTCGTTAACATTAGTTGAGTCTGTGATTTGGTGTATAAAACGGTAGATCTGTGGAGCAAGATCTGATTTGAAATTAATCCTTCTAAGCGAGGAATTTTTCATCTCAAAAATTTCAATGTCATTATCTCTGCCCGCAAATCTGTAGAGTTTAGAATCAATTTTGACTGAATCAAAACCCTCCTCTCCAAAAAAATGGAACTGTTCAGATTCCTTGGAAAAGTCATCCGCAGTGGCTTGAAAAGGGACAATTGTATCTTTGTGAGCCATAAAATTTGTGTCTGATAATTAAATGGTTATCTTTATCTTGAGAAGATAAAGATGGGCCCAGGATTCTAGAGGTGCTAGCTATGTCTCCGCATTTGTCCTCTTCGCACCTCAAAATTTCAGCCCATGTGAGCCTTCGCACATGGCCAGACAGAATGGTCTCCACGCCTCCTAACAACCTATCAGCCTGATTATTGATTGCGGGACCCTGCTTAGCCACAGATTGGATCTTCGTTCCGTGGATGTCCGCCCTAGCTTCTGCTTCGTCGTGAACAGTATTGGACGATCGTTTGCTTGGTGTTTCACTATGAACCTGCGCAGTACTCGCCGGCATAACCTCTACCAGTCCGGCTGTGCCCTTTCCGACGGCCCCCTGCAGACTGAACCCTGTACTTTCCGATGTCACGAATTGAACATCGGTAGCATCCGTACCTCTCAATTTGGGCTGCGTAGGAGATGTCCGGCTTCGTCCGCAGTCAGACGTTGGCTTTTCATAGTAGCAGCAGTCGCCTGAAATTCCTCTCTCGTTTCTATTTGTGTCTTGAATTCGTTTGTTTTTGTTGAAATCAGGCTTGATACCTGATTCGAAATTGAATTCAGGTTGTAACAGATAGTAAAGATTACTATTAGTTGCTACCTGATTGTTTTATGAGTAGCTACGTAGATGGTGGGGGTGGCGCCGTCCCCTATACCTGACCATATGCCAGCCCTCGTCCGTTTCACCAATTTGGGGCTAATTTGTTCTCGCTGGAGAGCTACCTGTCGGCGTTGATGTTGGTTTTGCCATGTTTTGATTGGGAGTCGTTTCTTTTCAAATGAATTACGGGCACAGGGATACCTAAGCTCATGTCCGTAACTCCTGAGCTCATACACAGGTGTTCGCATCCTGTAAGTTGGGTTATTCGAAGCAATACATCTGCAATTGAAATTACCTGTTTTGGGTGGAGTCAAATACTGCGGCGTGACTCTGCTTTCCAAGAAACTGGATTGAGGATAAAAATACCAGTGTTGTGCGTTTTGGCCTTCGCTTTTGCAATCGTAGTAGAGTCCCTTTTGCCCGTCGCTGTTCCAGTTGTAGTAGCGAGGTGGGTGCCCTTGTAGATGTAGATGATTTTTCCAGCTTTCACGGTGGTGCCGGCAATCCATTTCCCTTTTAGGAAGACGTTGGATTTTTAGAGGGAAGGAGGAGTCTCTCTCTTACCTTGGCTTACCAGGTTACTATCCTAAGTTTGTTTGAAAAGTTCTCCGTGTTGACGTCACTGAAGAAGGAGGGTAAGTTCGTATGGGACGACAAGTGTGAGAAGATGTTTCTTTAGTTAAAGAAACGACTTACTGATGCACCAGTTCTCACTCTACCCGTACAAGGTATAGGGTATGATATCTATAGTGATACTAGTATCCAAGGACTTGGATGTGTGCTAATGCAAAACGGTAAGGTGATTGTCTACGGTTCTAGGAAATTGAGGAAACACGAGGTGAACTACCCTACCCATGACCTAAAGTTGGGGGTGGTAGTGTTTGCACTAAAGATTTGGAGGCATTATCTCTACGGGGAGACATGTCACATCTACACCGATCATAAGAGCTTAAAGTATGTATTCACTCAGAAAGAGTTTAATATGAGGCAAAAGAGATGGATGGAGTTGATCAAGGACTACGACTTGAGCATCGACTATCATCCCAGTAAGGCCAATGTGGTGGCCGATGCACTGTGCAGGAAGAGTACGTTGGAGATGTTACTCACATGCCTACAGACATTGAGGGCGCATGTGGAAGCGACCACGAGCAGGGCCCTCAATCCTCATAGTGAGATTTGAAGTTAGATCTACTTTGCTTGATGAGATCAACAGATGTCAGGTGATTGACGAAGAATGTCAAAAGATCCGTGAACGGATCCTTGTGGGGCCTGTTGAGGACTTTCGAGTACGAGAAGATGGTCTCTTATTGTTTAGAGATTGTGTATGTATACCGAAGAATGAAGAGCTCCAAAAGTCCATACTAGAGGAGGCTCATTCTTTGGCCTATGTTATGCATCCAGGAGGTACAAAGATGTACCGAGATCTGAAGGAAAGTTATTGGTGGTCAGGTATGAAGACGGACATCGTAGAGTATGTGAGTCGATGCCTTACTTGTCAGCAAGTTAAGGCGGAGCATCAGCACCCGACGGGGCTTTTGCAGCGACTTATCATTCCACAATGGAAGTGGGAACATGTGATCATGGACTTTGTGGTAGGATTACCATCGACGGTGAATAATTACGATGCGGTGTGGGTGGTGGTTGATAGGCTTACTAAGAGTGCACATTTCTTACATATCAACATTACTTATCCTCTTGAAAGATTGACCAAGTTATACACTGAAGAGATTGTGAGATTGCATGGAGTCCCGATATCCATTGTGTCGGATAGAGATCCACGGTTCACATCTAGATTTTGTCTAAAGTTTCAAGCATCTTTGGGAACTAAACTGAAGTTTAGCACATCATTTCACCCACAGATGGATGGACAATCTGAGAGAGTGATACAGATTTTGGAAGACATGCTTAGGGCATGTGTTCTGGAGTTCTAAGGTAGTTGGGACATACATTTGGCTCTAGTAGAGTTTGCCTATAACAACAGTTATTAGGCAAGTATTGGTGTGCCTCCATACGAGGCATTGTATAGAAGGAAATGCAGAACACCATTGTGTTGGGGCGAGGTTGGCGAGGCCAAGTTCGAAGGTATAGAACTTGTTGAGATCACCAAGGCTAAGGTGAAAATCATTCGGGATAGACTTAAGGCTGCCCAAGATCGGCAGAAGAGCTATGTCGATAAACGGAGTAGACCGTTAGAGTTTGAAGTTGGTGATGAGGTATTTCTAAGGATTTCTCCTTCAAAAGGTATCATCCGATTCATGTCGAGGGGTAAGCTTAACCCCCGATACATTGGTCCGTTTGAGATCCTTAAAAGGATTGGAGCCGTGGCTTACCGGCTCAAGTTGCCACCTGAACTCGAGAAGATACATGACGTGTTTCATGTATCCATGCTCAAGAAATATGTACGAGTTTCGTCTCATATTCTTGAGAAACCACCGGTAGAGATCCGTGAGGACTTGCAATATGCAGTGGAACCGGTGAAGATTGTTGGTCAACAAGTAAATAAATTAAGGGACAAGGAGATTCCGATGGTAAAGGTTATATGGAGGAGTGATCGAGTCAAGGAAGAAACATGGGAGACCGAGGTCTCAATGAGGGAGCAATACCCGTTTCTTTTTTACTAGACACGGGGATTTCGGGGATGAAATCCCAAATAAGGGGGTTAAATTGTAACACTGTCCCCAATTATATTTACTTTTATGTAAATCATGTATTGAACCTTATAAAATGGTTAATGAATTTACGAGGTTGTAAATTTTTGTTATTACTAGTACGTGAATAGTAAATTGCACGTGAGGCCCACATCGGGAGCGGGGATCACCCTATATTTCCGAGACCACATATTATATTCATCTTGGTCTAGATAATATGTATATGGTTGTGGATATTTTAGTTGGGCCATGGAAAGCGCATAGGGTTGACCGGTTGGTCAAACGAGGCACAATTACCGGTATTGGTAATTTATCGGATAACAGTCCGAAATGGGTTTCGGAGACTTCTAAACTAAATTTGAGGAATGTATATTCATTCTAAGGGCCCATATGGGTTGAGAATGTGTGATATATTTAATTTGGCCCGATAAAATAAAACATAATTAAAACAATCCGAGAAATACAACTTTCGGGGCCAATTATACAGTTCGGGACATAAAGGGGTGACCTCCCACATGAGTGGGGGGCACCCCACGTTTTTGTGTGCTCAATTTTGACTTTAGGGGGCTGCATTATGGTGAGAGGGTGTTGAGAGGATGTATGAGTGAAGGTAAGACATGAGGTGGACCATCCCATCCACACTCATTGCTCTATTGAGACAAAAGAGTCATCTTCACTCTCCCCTCTACCACAACTTCGACAAAGCCATCAAGGAAGGATAGAGAAGCCCCTGCAAAACATCATTTCTCCATATCCAAGAGATATCAAGCAAGAAAGGAGCTCAAGGAAGAAGAAAAGGTTGCAAAGTTGAGAAAAACCTTAAGGATAAAAGTAAGGAGCTCCTTAATGACCTTTCTTCTATCTTTTATTTATCATATGACATGTATAGAATATGAGGAACCCCTAGGCTTGGTCTACATGTTTAGAAATGTAGAATGAGGTTTTGGAAGGTGGTTCTAAGTCCAAGAACGGACTTAGAAGCCAAAGTGACCGATTCGCCGAAAAATAACCTTTTAGAGGTTATTTGTATTGATATGGGTTTTATGATGATACAACCTTGTTAGTAACTTGTCTAAGGTGTTCCTAGAGCTTTCACGGAGTTGAAAGAGTCGCCGGAGTTTTCGCCGGAGTTTGTCAAAGTTCGTCGGAGCTTCGCCGGAGTCTAACCGGGAAGGATAGAACTTCTTAAAGCTCATTCAAGGTGAGTGGATGGCTTAATATCTTGTAACTATTGGGTTAAGTATGAGATTACCTAAGTAAATGCTATATGTGTTCATAATGATGTTTAAAATGGTTTAAGCATGTGATTAGCCAAGATGAATAAGCTTATGTGAAATGAACCATAAAGATTGTGCATGAGAAATGATATGAAAATGATATAAAAACATGTGTGAAGTTTTGGATGGCCAAAATGGCAAATATTGATTGTTTAAGACTTGATTCATGTTTGGGTTAAGTTTCAGATCAATGAACGGTTTGAGTACGGGCATTCAAATAAATGAATTTAAATGTGAACGGTCGCCGGTTTAGGCTATAACATGCACCGGTTAGGTGTTGTTTGTCCCGAATGATGATTTTTCGTGCATGGTCTTGCATAGATTGTTATGTTTAGGCTATAAGACTTGGTTTAGTCTTGATAAATGATTATGATGTAGACCCTATCTATGTATGATATGTGGTAGATCATAGGAACAAATGTATAAATGGTGGAGACACAAGGGCGACGGTACTGTCCTCAAACCTCAAATGTATAAACGGTGGAGACCCAGGGGCGACGGTACTGTCCTCAAACCTCAAATGTATAAACAATGGAGACTCAGGGGCGACGGTACTGTCCTCAAACCTCAAATGTATAAACGGTGGAGACCTAGGGACGACGGTACTGTCCTCAAACCTCAAATCTATAAACGGTGGAGACCTAGGGGCGACGGTACTGTCCTCAAACCTCAAATTTATAAACGGTGGAGACCCAGGGGAGACGATACTGTCCTCAAACCTCAAATGTATAAACGGTGAAGACCCAGGGGCGACAATACTGTCCTCAAACCTCAAGTGTATAAACGGTGGAGACCCAGGGACGACAATACTGTCCTCAAACCTCAAATGTATAAACGGTGGAGACCCAGGGATGACGGTATTGTCCTCTAAAGTCATATGTTTAAATGGTAAAGAATCCAAGGAAGACGGTACTGTCCTCAAACTCGAATGAATAAGATGATTTGGACCAGGAGGAGTCTTATACACTCATAGGATATGGGTGGGTTGGGATTTAAGTCAAGCATATTGGCTACTAAGATTTTCCCAAATAAACAATGACCTACGCGTCGGATATTTCCAAGTGTATATATACTTATATGTATTTCATAACTTGGGGGGAAAGTACTATACATGTATGTATCATCCTATGTTTGGGTCTTATACTTGAAACATTAGTTATGCTACATTTAGCTTGCTACTCGCTCGGTACTTGTACTGACCCCTTCGGGGCCCCCCACCATTTTCATGTTGAAGCTAAAGCTTGCTATCCGCATCTTGTTCGGCGGATTGATTTAAAGGAAGACGTGGTTCATGCTTCCTTTATTGTTTAAAACTACAAACTATGCTCATGGATATTTAATGTGACATATACATTGTTTTGGGCCTGCGAGCCCACGTTTTGGCCATGTGTGGCCCATGATTGATTATTGAATATTTCCGCTATTCGATTAATCTAAACTGTGATGTTGTTATGTATGTTTACAACTGAGTATGGATGGATTATGTTCATGGTCGCCTTGTATGATTAAGTCACATTGACTTGCGAGTGACGTCACTTGGTCATACGGCGGTTGTACACGTGCTTAGATGCGGTCTGAGACGTGACAAGATGACCCTCCATCGACTGAACCCTATCATCTCAGAATATAACCCAGAAGCCCAGGAGCATAACTTGGACCTCCGTCGACCATGACCTCCATCTGCCTGGCACTTCTTCGGCCAACGAAGCTCCAGCGGACTAAACTTTATACACCCCTGTAGAAATTATGTACTCAACCCATTAGAGACCTTATATTGTACCGGGTGATAAGTATGATAATTACCTATATTTTATATAGGTAATTATGATTATATGTACGAATATTCAAAGCTGAAACACGTAAAAATCCCAATTTGAGCAAAACCGCATAAAGACGTCAAAAGATGAAACACAGGTATCAACAGTCAAAAGGGATTGAGAACAGGCACTTCGGGATCAACAATGGGTGTAAAACGGAGCGAAAAATGAAATATTGCACAACGGGGGAGAACCAGCGCAAGTTTACCCTCATAACCGGCGCCAGTTGATTTAATTTGCTATTTTCCAGAAACGCCGAAAGAAAATCGGCGCCGGTCCACCCTATAACTGGTGCCGATTATGCCAATTACCTGTGTTTTTCCAGCGCCGAAAGAAGACCGGTGTCGGTCAGGCATGAAACTGGCGCCGGTTAGGTCCGATTCTGCACAAAACAAGGAGACGTGCAGCAATATTTTGATGGAAAATCCTCACCTTTCTCATGATCTGATCAAACATATCTTCCATGCCTGATTGTTGGGCTCAAATAGACTAAAAGATGCCAATCTTTAGCCTATATAAAGCCCTCAATTCATCAAACAAAATCATTCCATTCCATAGATTAATTCATAGCTTTTATATTTTGTTCTTGCTATTTTTCTTCAAGTTCTTTGGAGAAAAAGCTATTTCTCTCCTCTACAATTGGTTCTAGGTAATTTTTCTTGTATGTTATTGTATTTATTTGTTCTTAATTACACTTTTGTAATTAATATGAGCATTAGAGGCTAAATTCTTAGCTAAATCTAGGGATGAACTTCTATGCCCACTAGGTGTTTTATAAAAGTTCTAATCCAATAAATTGTGATATATCCTTTATACTTTGATTGTTTATGACTATGGTGTACAACATAGAAGTATCTTAAATTTAGTTTATACTTGCAATTAACGTTGAAGTCTTAACTATGAACATTAAAGGATAAACATATATAGTACCGAGAATAGAAATATATCCGGTCTTATATGATACGGGTGTGATTTCTTGATATTCAACGGGGTTTTCAGTAGATGAATGTAAGCCGTAACGGGACTTATACGTAACGAAAACCACGCTCTCACTGCCTTAACCGGAGTTGAGAATATATTAGCGACATCGTTTTCATAATTATTGGCAAAGAACTAATATTCAACCCTATTAAAGCATTTAAGTGATTCCCGAAGCCTTAGTTGTTGTTTTTCATCTTAAACTCAAAATTAGTTAACGATTATCTTCTTGAACAAATAGTGAAAAAACCAAAAATATAAAACACAAATCAAAATCCCTGCACTTTACTCATTTCTTCATTTAAAGTTATCTACTCACGGACTAAATTAAACAATGTTTCCTTGTGGATTCGACCCGGTATTTTACCGGAATTTATTACTCTATCGGCACTTGTACATTTGCAAGTTTAGCCCGGTCAAGTTTTTGGCGTCGTTGCCGGGGAAACGGTCTTGTTTATTAAAGTCCAAAACAATAATAAAAAAAAAAAAAAAATCAATCAATCAAAAATCTTGAATTTTTCATTTCCCATTGCTTTTCACTTGTTCTTGTGGTATTTTTCATTTCATGTGTGTAGTCTATGCTTTGTGTTTGAATGCATTTGAGAAGTCAAGGTTCTAAACATCTTGAACCTATTGATCTTGAAATAGAAAGAACTTTCAAACACAACCGGAGGGAAAGAAAAGAAGCAAAAATGATGCCAACACTCAACGAAAGGAAGAGGCCCGTGATTGCCGCCACTCCCTCATGTATTGTCCTAAGCGAGGCGGCAAGGGACTATGAAATGAAGAATAGCTACTTCAATGCTATGCCTCAATTTCATGGTCATCCGAGGGAGAATCCACTTAACTTCATCACCGAGTTCTATGGATTCATCCAAGTAATTCCTAGGCATGGTCTCTCCGAGGACGACCTCAAACTCAAAAGCTTTCCCTACACCTTGAAAGGGGCAGCAAGGGGATGGTTCGTGGAGCTAAGACAACGAATCTTCAACTTCACCCACGAAATGAACAACGTGGGAATGTATCTATAATGCTTTCATTTCTAAGTATTACACACCCACGATGACTCAAGAGCTAAGACAACGAATCTTCAACTTCAAACAACAAGTTGGAGAACTATTCCAAGATGCATGGAGGTATTTTA